TCAACCATTCAAATGGCTGAGGACTTCAGAGAGGATCAAAAGAGGAAACTCACCGTCCTCTTAACATGTGGAAAAACACACATGGACAACTCTCTGTTTTACATCCTTGTGACAAACAAATTTCAGTCAGTGCATCTCGACTGCATTGACTTCTTGGTTCCCATGAAGGTCTTCTGTGTGTTTGATTTCGACCCTGATTCAGAGTCATCTGGGCTTTGTGGTAAATATAAGGAGCAGAAGGCTGTAACACTTCATTTCCTCGATGACTATGGAAGGAACAGTAAGCCAGGAATTAACGACTTCATAAATTCTTTGCAGCTTTTTGAGAGAACAAGCTGGATTTTCTGCAATGGAAGAAACAACTTCCCTGGTGCAGAAGAAACATGTGATGAAAAAACCTGGATCAAAACAAGTAAAAAGAAAATGAAGGCGGCAGTGTCTGTCATCTGCAATGATATCCTTCCCAGGCGTTCATTTGTGGTCATCTTCCTGCTCATGTCTGAAGTTGAGCAGCCACTTGTTGAGGTTTTCCATGAATTCTATGCAGAAATGAATGGACATGACTATTTGGCAGTCATATCAGAGTCAAAGGAAAACTACAAAAAGTGGTCGAGTCTTGCCCAGGTGTCCTGTTCAATGTCTGCACTCAAAGATATCAGCATTGTAGAAATGCCACTGAGTCATGTGGACGCCACAGTGCAAAGCATTCAACTTTCAAAGAGTCAGCCCATGAAAAAATTACCAGTCCTAAATGGAGGCCTGTGCTTCCTAAGATCAGTTGAAGAGGCTAGGCTAGATTCTTTAGAAATCATCAGTGTCGACCAGTGTGATGATACAAATCTGGAGATCATGAGCAAGGATGAAATCCAGCATATTGAGAGCCACTTCTATCGAGGTGGAAAGATAAACTGGATCAACTTCTGGCTTGCTGACAGACACAGGTGTGGGGTTATCATAGAGAGGGATGCCTACAAAGACGCAAGCACAATCCTCAACAGTATTATTAATCGTAACAAAGCCATACGTCCCATTGAGAGTGTGAACATATACCACCAACCTGGCAGCGGTGGAAGTACAGTGGCACGACAGATACTCTGGAGTCAGAGGACAAAGTTACGATGTGCAGTTGTTAAACACTGTAAGGAAATCACAACTGTGTGTGAGCATGCGCTGAGACTGAGAGAACATGACGAGAAAGACAAAAACAACTGTCTGCCGGTGCTCCTGCTGTTGGAGGATTGCAAAGCAGATTACATTGATGATCTCAGACGGGAACTAGGGAATGCCATTGCAACCAAAAAGCTACATTCCTCTGTGCTGTGCTTTGTTCTACTGATCTGCAATAGGTCACATGATCCAGAACCAATGAGCAAAGCATCTCAAACAGTAGCAGTCACACATAAGCTGTCACCTAAAGAGAAGCCTTTGTTCTCCAAAAAGCTGGAGCAACTCGAACTGAAGTTTCATTCAGATTACATCCTCACATTTGTGCTGATGAGCAAAGAGTTCCAGAAGAGCTACATTGAGAACTTTGTAAAAAATCTGCTAGAAAAAATTGATCATTCATCACCTGATACTCGCCTCATTAGATTTGTGGCTCTCCTGAATAGCTACGTTGAAGATTCATATCTATCTGTTTCACACTGTGAGGCATCTCTTGGCATAGCTACCTATGTGGAAAGAACTCGGAACCATGCATTTGTGGATCATCTCAGTGATGAAGCTAAGCTTATTTTCATCCACCTAAACGAAGCTTCAACTCACATTTCATCAATACGGATTATTCACCCAAAGTTGGCACAGGAAATTCTGAGTCAGCTGTCTGTAGGTGTGCCTCAGAGTGACATTGCCATGGATCTCATCAGTGACAAGGTACTTATGAATCATAGGTTTGACAGAAATACGTTTCTGAATTTCATCAGAGCCCTTTTCATTAGACGAAACAAAAAGAGCAGAGGAGATCCTAAAGACACAGCCTTTTCACCTCTTGTTGAGCATGTCTGCACCAAAAGTGGTGGTCAGAAAGCTGTCGAGCTCATGGAGGCAGCTTACATAGCTTTGGGAAAAGAAGCTTTTGTGGCACAACAACTTGCCCGGCTGCTTTATACAAACTTGAGATTTGAAGAGGCCCTAAAGTGGGCAGAAGAAGCAAAAGCTCTTCTTCCATATGATATATTTGTCCTTGACACATTGGGACAAGTTTACAAGAGGTGGTTTTACCACTTGTATGACACCCTTGAGGAAAAAGAAACCTCACCTGAAGGAGGAATTGAAATTATAACCATTGCTCTCAAAGGAATTTCTGCCTTCCGGGCCTCTGAAAACACACCAAAGAAAGAGACTGTCACCTTTAACAACTCATACTATGGGGAGGTAGATGTTGGCTGCAGTCTGATAACATTCCTGTCAAGAACAAATGTTTTTTCAAAGGCTGCAGGAAAATCAGAGTTGATGCAGTATTTGTTAACAGACTACATACCAGCAGAGGTCAAAAAACCCTGGGAGAGGTTTCATCTGCAGTTGAAAGGGTTACAGAAGAGCTTGCACCATGCACTTGAGTGCATTTCTGAAGACCTTAGCTACTTTCAAACTGACATTAGTGAAATGGATGAAGAGCTTGATGCAAGAGATTCAGAACAACTACACAATCCTAGAAGATGGTTGAGAAGGAAAAGTGCTGTTTTTGCTGGATTTTTCTGTGTCACACCAGATGAGAGTGAGGAAGCAGCTCAAAGCAACAGCACTGATGCGGCCCTTCCATTTGAAAACCTTTCTGCTTTCAAAAGACAGATGAAGATTTACAGCCTTGGTGGAGGGAACGTTACATCCATCCTCTCCTTACTTAATCACAATGACCCAAAGAGAGCAGGAAAAAAACTTGAGACAATAATTGGAATGTACCCAGAAAACCTGACATGCAAGGACCTTGACCAGGCAGAACTGTCAAACTTCATCTTTTGCCAGATAGCTCTGAACTGTACTCTGCCTGGGTCTTCAAAGCTCCTGTCCCTTCAAAAGCTACAAGATCTCAGCAAGAAATTTACTACAAAAGGGAGAGACATGTCATCACCAAGCGCTCTCTTCCTTCTGTCCCTTCTCTTCTGGCCTGAGACAAGCAATGAGCTCAGTTCTGCTAATAGTCAGACCCTCTTGTCAGCCATTGACGCGCTTCGGAGACTCTGTGAGCATAAACTTGAACACAGGTCTACAAGGAAAAACAGAATCATGGCCCACTTCTTTCTGGGAAAGGCAAAAGGCCTTAACAAGATTGTCCACAGAAGTGCTATTGAAAAACAGATTGGGGGCACTCTAAATGAAAAAAACCTGAAATGGCGTGAAGGGGAAATATGGAAAACTAAGGACGTTGTGCAGTTACTCAAACGTGTTGAAGGATGGACAGAAAATGGAAACTTGTTTGTCCAAGGTGGAACCAGGCACAGCAAAATCAGGGTCTTTCCTCGGTACTCTGCCTCTCTTCCAAATGGAAATGAAAAGGTTACCTTCTACTTGGGCTTTTCATTTGATGGAGTGTTTGCCTTTGACATCCAACTAATGGAGTAATTTTCAGTGCACATGAAGCACCGCTCAACATTTGCTAATATCAGTGCTAAGCTCCAATAGACATTAGATGAGATTGTAAGAGACGAGGGCTGTGAGAAACCTTTGAATAAGGATAATCATCACCTTTATTGGCCAAATATGTTACACACAAGGAATTTGTTTCCGGTACAGAACCGAGAAATTTGTGGTGCCAACTAAACTGATGGCTCTAACCATCGGGGGCAATAGGGGGTTCAGTGTCTTGCCCAAGGACACTTCGACATGTGGACTGGAGCCACTGAGATTCGAACCTTCAACCTTCGAGTTGGGAGACGACTGCTCTACCCACCACACAGTCGCCTTTGCTTGTTCCTCTTGGACATTGACATTTACAAACTTAGTCTGCATTTGCTTAGCAAAGAGAATAATTTAACTTGAATTTGATTCACACATACGGTTTTGTAAAATAGGTCCAGGTCAAAGTAAAGACATTCAGATAGAGTAAGAAATGCTGTTTTTGAGTAGAACAGTCCAACACACACACACACACACACATTATTTACATTTGGAAGAATTTTGAACATTGTGTTTTCAGTTTGTGCTTTTTTAAAATAATCTGACAAGCTAATTGACTTGTCTCAGCTCACAGAAAGTCTGCTTCATTTTGTGTTTAATAAAAACAGTCAATTTTGTGATTATACTTCAGATGTGAGATTTTACAATAGTGAATTTGAGACAGTACAGTTGTTGTGTAGGACATGTGCCATGTATGTGTGATGTAAAATATATTCCACACTGAATTACACAAGCATTTTGTATTTCTTTATTTGATTGTCACACTTATCATTTGTATTATAATTACAGCTAGAAATCTAAAAGTGCTGTTTATTTTTAATATAGAATTATTACAGCATGTGTGTATGTAAAATAATTGGCTTTTCAAGTCATTTACACATTAATTATGTTGAGATTTATTTCAGTACAAATAGTGGGGAAAATGTTACACAATGATTTATGAAAATTGACGACAATGGAGTTATGCTTTTGTAAATAAACTCTTCATACTCTTCATTTTCAGTTGGGTATGATTAAAGCCTCAAAAATTATTTTGATGTGCACTTAATAAAGTAAAGCACTTAGTAGAGTAAAATGTAGCCCTTGTAAATTTTTTTCCTTTGGATAAAGAATATGTTTGGAGTTAAAGTATTTACAATATGCAGCCAAAACCTGCTGTGAGTGTGACAGCTTTTCCTTTTGTGTGTCTCACTTTCTAAGATTTACTCACAGTATATTTACTTCATTTTCTTTTTTACCTCCAATGCCATTCAGTATTGCAGAGTCTAGAGATACATCCATATAATATTGAAAGTACATGTAGCTCAGAGCCACTACAGCCTTTTCTACTTCTGCCACATCAGCTAACGAGTCATTGCCTGCAGCTGTCTGCCACAGGTGATTTGATTGGTCTGAAGTGGGAGGATTATCTGGACTGGCTCAGATCTTCTGTGTTTTATATGGAAGGGTGTATCATTATCTGTCTTACTGACTGGGTTGAGCAGGAGGTTTGTTCTGATTCATATTTCCAAAAGTCTCCTGTTTTTATGAGAGAAGTGCACAATGGTAATCGCAGGGCATTCGGCTTCTCTGGCGCTGCTGCTTTCACTTGCTTTTGGTGTTGCACATACCATTCGATCTTTGAAGGATGGACCCATGATTGATGCTGAAGGAAGACAATATAAATCTGCAGTGTTAACTACTGGAGAAAACAGTGGGTCAGACTCCAGTGATGAGACCGCTGTGCATGTCCGATGCACAGAAACATCCATGATCATTACGGTAAAGGCTGACCTGTTTAAATATGGACGTCTTGTCTCTGCTGGAGAGCTGTTTTTGGGAGAAGGTGAGCACACAGAGAGTAGTCAGTGCCAAGCTGTTGCAGTGACTGACACTGAACTTGTCATTGAAGCTGGACTGCAGGACTGTGGCTCCAAATTAACTGTAAGTTGTTTGTGCTTGACACAATGATGGGTTTTTCAGATGGTGCTGAGTTTCTAATGTGATTTATATTCCTCTTTAGATGTCTGAGGACTTTGTGACCTACTCCAACCAGCTGATGTTCTCACCTGCTACCAGTCACCATGGCGTTACCAGGATGATCCGTGCTGTAGTCCCTGTTAACTGCCACTATAAGAGGTGAAATTTCATTCACTGTTGATGTGAGGACATTTTTGTTTGACTTCTTCATAAAAGCTGACTTTCTGGGACAGGACGCACTTTGTGAGCAGTTACCCTCAGCAGCCTCTGGTCCTCTCCGCTTCTGCAAAGTATTCTGCTTTCTCCTTAAAGCTGATGACTGGTACGTGTGGACTCTTGCCCTTGTGGTTTATCCTGATAAGTGTGTGTGTAGTGATGTTTTCTGTACATGTAGGTGACTGGAGAAGTGAAATGTCCTCCAATGTCTTCTACCTTGGAGACCTCCTGCACCTTGAGGCTTCTTACACTGGTCCTGATGCAGAACAAAGACTACTCTTCATCGACAGCTGCGTTGCCACTCTGACACCAGATGCAACATCAGTCCCCAGATACTACTTTGTTGAAAACCATGGGTAAGAGTAGCTCAGCATGCATGATCCAACTACAAATGACTTTGATTTATTCCTGTGCTTGAGTATAAATGAGCCACACACAAATGTGACCCAAATGGCACATAAACCTGTAGCTGAACCACTGGTCTTTGTCATCTCTGTGAAAACAAACTGTCAGATGTGTCACTGATGCAAAAGAGGAAGGATCAAAAGCTCTGATCCATCCCAGGACGAGGGCTGATTTGCTTCAAATGCAGCTTGATGCCATCCTGTTTCACCATGATCCAAGGAACTCGGTGAGCTGCTTATGAGAGCAGCCCAGTCAACAAGGCCTGCAATTATGTTTATTCAAGGTAACAACAATCATCATGAACATGTTTATATGCTTGGTCTGATTTACTGTAACTGTGCAGCACTGCAAGCCAAAGCTTATGTTTGATTAAATCTTGGCCAAAATGAATGGTGCACAGCTGTGGAGTGTTTTTAATTTTGACAGACAGCACCCCACTCTGAGCGTGTTCTCAAAGTTCATATTCTTTTATTTTTATTCCTCTCAACACGATTTATGTGTTTGGTACTGTAGATGTCATTTGTATTTATTTAAGACAATATCCATTAAATAAAAGCAAAACGTATTAAAGCTTTTCTTTCTTTTCAGCTGGAAAAATGTGGATGGGAATGATGGTGTGTGTCGGTGTTGTGAAAACATCTGCCATCATAGATCACTCAAAGGTGAAAACATCTGTCATCACAGAAGATCACTCAAAGGTAAGTGCACCATAAAGCATGAAGATGAGATCAGTGCTTCGTTGGTTAGGTTGTACACCTTGCATTAGATGAGGCTCAAATCTGTTGGATTTATGTTAAAATATCCAACTAATGTGCTTGTAAAAACCTCTGGACTCTTTCAGATCTCACGGTTTGTGGCACTGTGACTCTTGGCCCTTTCACGATTTTCCCCAGCTAGAGAGCAAAGAACAGATCTGGATCAGAAACATTCAGTTCCTTCTTTTTCTTGGCAGGCTAACAGTTGGCAAATTTTATTTGTGTTTGAGAAGATGTTCTGTATGCCCTAATGATAAAATTTCATGATAAACTATACCACATGTCAGAAGTTTGATTTAATAAGCCTTCAAATTTGATTTGATTGTTGCTCAGTGTTGAGAACTA